CAGAGAGTTTAAATAGATAGCTTCCTAGTTAGGCTATATGTATGACAGCTAGTATAGAACCCTTAGCATAGCACTAATGCCTCGAGCGGACTACTTAAATAGGCAACCAAAAGTTGTACGTGTGACTAGTTGTACTCTCATTATATTGATGTAATATGTAAGCCAGTTTTCGGACGGCCCACCCGTTTGCACTAATAAAGTGCCAGGGGCCTAAGTAGTCACCTCAATATTAAAAAAAAAAATAAAAAAAATTTTAATAGTAAATTTTAGGTTTTGAAACTACTGATCTAAGATGTAGGTCCGCAACAAAGAATGGTTTGCTGTTCCAATAATAAGAAATTTTTATACTGTATTAGGTTACTATTACTAGCTCTTTGCCCGTGCCTTCGTTATAGAAATTTTTTCGAAATCGGTTGTTACTTTGAAAATTACTTGCTTCAAGTAATCGAAGTATATTATTAGTTTCATCAGAATTATTGTGACTTCTACTTAGTCAAGGTCTAGTTAATTTTTGTTAGAATTTTCATAATTCTATGAATTACTATAAAAAATTTCTTTGCTGAACTTACTATTCTAGTAATTTACAGTATATAGTCCACTTTTACATTATCCATATCCTAGTAAGTTCACATATATACAAATATAAATCAAAAATTCAATGGGTCAAAAGGGTCGGTAAACTATTTTAATCATAACATAATTAATTTATCAATTATAATATAATTAATTTATCAATTATGACATAATTGTCATAATTTTATGTCTTTTTTTAGTTTTCCGCATAACAAATGTTGTAATTAATTTTCCCACTAAATCATGTTTCAGATCATATTTTTTGGATCTGATCCAATCAAAAATGGTAAAACCTGCAAACCCAGAATTCAACCAAAAAAAATTTATTACATTCATGATCCAAATACTATATAATAATAAATTTTTTAATTCTCTTCATCTTGTAATACCATTTGACGTGCCAACTCAATAGGATTATAATTCATATTACCTACTGCTACATTTCTAGCCCTAACAGGCTCTGAAGAAAATATTGCATCTCCAGATGCTAAAAACTCTGGCAACATTAAATCTACTGAATCTGCAATATTTAATATTAAACTTTCCAAAATTTCACTTTCATTAATATCATCCAAATTATTAGTCCTGTCATTATTAGTAATTTCGTCTGAAGTTTCAAGTAAACCATATGTAACCATTGATGTGTTAATACTTTCATATAACTCTTCACTATTTAAATCTTTGCTATAAAGTTGAAGTTCTTTATCAGAATTTGAAAGATAGTAAGAGCGTATTTTTGCCATATCTTCTACTCGAGAAAGACAAAGTCGAGTTTGCTTATTACGATAAAACCATTTAAGTATTGAAAAGTTTCTTTTGCAGACAGCTTGTGAAGGAACAATTGAAAATAAACGTAATACTAATTGTTGAAGTTGATCTTAATTATCTTCAACATATATGCTACGCCACTATTTAATTGATGTTTCATGAGTAGAATTATAGAAAAGATAGTACGGTTCATCTTTTCATTTCCAACTTCATATTTCTACCAATAATTGTGTACATGACTCTTCTGAATAATGTAAATCATTCCAAATTAATGCAGCCATTTCATAAATTTTATCCAATACTGTTCTCTTTAAGCCATGACCTAAAGAATATATTTAAATTATATAATTATGTTAGCTATAATCAAAATTTTATAAAGACATGATCCAATTATAAAAATTATAATCTACTTATAAATATATACCTCTATATAAGAGATATAACCAGTATGTAAGTATTGTAATGGGATTTACAAGTTCATTGAATCGTCGATTGAAATTAATAATAATATTTGTTTTTCACGAGTTAGAATTTTCGACTTGATTAATATTTGCAGCTAATTTAACCAAACCAATAAAAATATCAGCTAAATTGGCTATTCTAGCTTCTAAACAATTTGTCAATTTCTTTACAGGTTTCAAAATAACAGAAACCTGACTGCACTTAATATAAAAATTTTCGTCCTCAAGAAGATCAAATACCGCAGTATTAGAAATTACAGACATGTGATTTTTCAAAATCTATAAAGATATTAATTAATTATACTACTGTATTGTTATATATTATAAATTAAAGTAATGTTATTTATTATACTTACCCAATCAAAAACAGGCTTGGATTTAACAATTGAGTCTATCGTCATATAAAGTGTTTCCCAATGAGTTTTACAGTATGATTTAATTTCCCCACCTTTGATTTTTATAAGACGAAGTTGCTCTGAATAATATCTGTGAGCAACATAAGAATGATGAAAAAAATTGGTAATTAAACCACATTTGTTAATAATATTTTTAATTAAATCTAATTTAGCAAAATCAGACGCAAGCAAGTTTACTGCATGTGTAGCGCATCTAATATTTAATATAGAAGAATAAGTGCTATTAACAATTTGACGAGCTACTCGAAGATTTGACCCTGAATCAGTAACAATTGCCGCAAACTTTTCAACTCCTATTTTTTCAATAAAACTTAAAATTTCACTGGCCATAAACTCTCCCGTATGACTAACTTTGTTATACTCCTTAAGTTTTATAAGATATTCTTTACATTTAGATGTAGTAATAATAAAGTTATAAATTGACTCATGAGTAGGTGATGTCCATCCGTTGAGGGCTATTACAGTATAATAAAAAATTTTTTTTTTAAATTTTAATTTATTAATTATAATTTTAAAAAAATTCTATATTACTTACATAAAGTAAGAAATTCTTTTTTTTCTAGATCATTATCAATTCTTAAAACTTCTTGGTCTAAGAAATGACCAGAGAGCCTATCACATGACGGAAGATCATACCCGGGAATTGCAAGTTGAAACAAGTCAATTATGAAAGGATTCTCTACGTTTCAAATGAAAAATTACACATAACCCAAGCTTTTAAAATAGCTTTATTTAAAGATTCCACCCGTGCTTCAGGAAGTGGTTCAACTTTTTGAAAATGGGTTGTAATTTCAGATTGATTTTTTGGTTTTTTTCATATTGGAGTTTTTTCTTCAGCAATAAAATCTCTCCAAAAATATTTAATTTCATCAAGAACATTTAAACATTGTCGAGCAAGATGTAAGTACATATCATCTGGTCAACCTCTTTCCCATGAAACAGAACAATATTTACAACTAGCTTTATAATGTCCTCGACCTAAACTAACACCTTGGTTAACATAATGCCAAATATCTCCTTGCTTTTTACCGTTCATTTGTTTCACTATACTCTTGTGGTTCATTTTCACTAACGCTAAATATATTAGAAGCGGTTTCTGAATTTCGTGATGCCATTAATTTTCAAAAAAGATACATATCATATACTGTATATATATGACTATTTTCTTAAATTTTTTTTTTCTCCTATATATTCTAATTATAATGTACATCGATAATATAATATATGGAAAGCACAATAACAATTGGTATGATATCATTACTATTACTAGAGCTTGGAACCGGATTTTTTTAAAAAAACTAATTACTAATTTTTAATCCGGTTGTTAGATAATACAGTTATCCACGGATCACCAAATTGAGATAACCTTAAATAACTGGATATCCCACTGATACCACGGATAAGTGAGCATTGAATTAAATTAGTGATTCATAAATCTTATTTATTTTGATTTGTAAGCTTATTTATATAATAACAATACTTTTTATGATTGTGAATTTTCTAACTTAATATCTTTCACATATATGCCTTATATTTCTGATCGATAATTACATATTTGAACGTTTTAAAAGATGAAACAAATTAGTAGAACACACCAGAACACAGGTCGCACGGAAGCTTCCGGAGGACATACTTTAAGTTCATTATAAACAGGGTTCAGTATTTGATACTAGATTCAAACTCGACATTTGGCTGAATCGTTAAATTCATACACTAACATATAAAGTAAGTGTTGTAAAGTAATGCTATCAACGAATCAATTAATATGGCATTTAGATTTTTTTAAAAAAAAACTAATTTTTAATCTGGTTGTTAGATTATACAGTTATCCATGGATCACCAAATTGAGATAACCCGAAAACCCTTAAATAACCGGATATCCCATCGATACCACGGATAAGTAAGCATTGAATTAAATTAGTGATGCGATTCATAAATCTTATTTATTTTGATTTGTAAGCTTATAATAACAAGATCGTGAATTTTCTAACTTGATATCTTTCACATATATGCCTTATATTTCTGATCGATAATTACATATTAAAGATATAAATAGTACTGTATTTTAGAAGTACTAATAGAAGAATAATTTAATAGCGCCTATAAAACTATATCTAATATTCTCGAAAAAGAAATTGGAACTATTGCAAATAATTGAATTGATCGATATCTTATTATTGGTGAAAAAAAAATTATCAAGTCTTGAGATTGTACCCGGATAACTCCTATTTCATTTTTTGATTTCAACAGAAATGAGATATTTTGTACCAACTTATTTTCGAAGTAAGTTAATTATGAATCACCCCATTACCTTAAATTTGAAAACAAGATTTATATTAATTTATTTACTGTACTCATATTTTTATAATCTTTTCGAAAGACATATTGTTCTCAAAACGTATATGACACGTACTAACCAGACATAAACTGGGTTTTGCCGTTATCGCTATTTTCGAATTAGTACGTACTATGAACCTGCATATTACCATTGTGGTAAATATGCAGGGTTCATAAAATTCTTACGGCAAAAAGAGCTCTCACTTTTTGTCCAGATACCCGCGGATCTTTTTTAAATTATTCGTAAGGCATATGGTATTGTCACGGGGTTAAACGATATAGGGTGAACTATACCGAATATCTGGTTCAGGGTCGTTATTATACCACTGAATTGTTTATTTTTAAGGTTAAGGAAAGTAAACAACAAAATAGAATAAGCGAAGATTAACTAATTATGAACTAATTA